ATCGTGACAGTTTCCCCCGAATGCTTCCTCTCCTCCCCTCTTTTAGTCTAAGCTGTCTGCGCAGCATCAGATATGGCTGACATTCTTGTCTCTCTGTGTGTCCCCATCTGTAGAGGGGGAACACAAACAAACAGACTGGGAGGAGCCCTGCCGAGGCCACAAATATTCCTCCATCATCCCACATTTGCGTTTGCAGTACTGGAAGCCTTTGCTTTTGGTAGTTTTACTCCATAGCTCAGCTTGTTTTCTCTCAATAAGTGTCACTGTGGCTTCTCTGCAAACTTTCTCTTCAGCTTGGAATATTGCATCTAAATCCCAACTTTGAATAATTTAAATAATCTGTATAAAACTAAATATGAGGGTCAAAAATTATCTTAACCTCAAAGATCATATTTCTTACAGTTTTCCCCAAGGTCAACTTTTGAACCATTTCAGTCATGGGGATTTATATAAAATCCCCATGACAAAAATGTTTGTGCCGCATTATCCTGGCCTGTAAGAGGCCTGGCCAGGTATTTACAGTTTGAGAGATGACAGATCCTTTCATTTAACATCAACTACTTCTACTGTAGCAAAAAAACTGGCACAGGGAGAATGTTACCTATCTTCAATGAAGCACCTGCAGCTGAAATATTTGACCTTCATACCTCTGGAATTTGACTCTTCAAATTATTGAGCATGGTGAAAATGCTGGAGATACTGCACACACGGTTTCCATTAACTAAACAGAAAGTTTAAATAGAATCAGATCTGACTGAGCAACACTTTCGTGTAATTTATACCTTAAATGACAGATTTATCACAACACAGAACTGTGCAAGTCAAAGGGCCTCTGCCTTATTGCAACTATCCATCAAGTAAAATATTGTGTGTACTGTGCTCACTCACATATACCAGTTTGAGCCTTATAACCACCAGTTCATGTCAGTGGGACAGAACAGTGAATAAACCTAGCCGCAGTAGGCCATTGACCAGGCTTGGGTTACGGCTTGGGTTGCACCCTCCCAGCACTCCCTCTCCGTTTTTGCTATGCTAAGTGATTATGCCCCTGCATGGAGCTTTCTACTCCCAGGGGTACCGTCTGAAAGAGCGAAGGAGTTCTCTCTATATATATCTGGATGATGTCTGCAGAAATCTCAAGATGGTATTTGACAAGGAGCATGCCAACACTGTGCTTCTCAGAGAGAGAACATGGAGGGAGAGCTCCCCTCAATATTCCCTTTCTGTTCTGTGTCTGTTGCGATCATTAGAGAATAACCACACACATCAGAATGCTGTAGCTTCACACCAATTTTATACTTTTTTGGTAAAGAGCAAACAAAATTCAAGGTTTTTGTCTTTGAGAAACTTGTAATTTGCGCATCAGACAATCTTTGTGACTGAGTTTCAACAGAGGCAGAGACATACTTTCTCTAATGCAGTAACATTTTAGCCATGAGAGAACCTTAAATGTCTCACCCAAGGGTCTCCTTATGCAAAATGATTTCAGCATTTCGGCAAAGTAAAGCACAGCTCCTCCCTGTGCGGCAACTGAGGAGAACCGGACATTCCATATACATAGTGGGTTGTCACTGCAGGCCTTAACAGATTAACTGACACAGTGTTACAGTATTAGTACTAAAGCACTTGGAAAGGCTGCTGTATCATTTAAATTGGCAGGAGGACAAACTGCACTACCACCTCAAGACCACAAAGTTGCACAATTAAACGTCTGAGAGTTCAGGAGTTGTTGATTTTCTGAATATCCATTAGGAATTTGATTATTTGACACCTCATTTTGTCCCATTTACATCTCCATTTACTCATGTATCAGTATAAACACTTTTGTGGGCTCAGATTTGTCTCATGCTTTGATGTGGTTCTCTGTGCTGTATTTTGTACTACCTTGTTTAAAAACATGGCTCCCATAAAACATCTCACATGATAGAAAAGTAAACATAATGATAGCATAGTGAATGTGAAAATAAATTCTGCTCTCCCTGTCCCACTCAGCTGTTGCCTCCTGTAGATGACTAAATCAGGATACAGAGACAATCAGGATTCCAACATTGTCAGTGTTTCTCAGATCTGTCCTAAACATGGGCAACAGTTGTCTGATGGCAAGTGTGTCAGATTCACCGGACATTGTGAAGAAAGAATTCCTCTTTCAGTCAGTCTCAGCTGTTTGCTGTCAATGAGCATGAATACCGAGAAGAGTTTTGGCTTTTTGAATAATGCAATCATTGTTTTCAACATAGACAGAGCCTTCTGAAGACAAATTTGTTGGCAAAGAAGAAAGTATAGCAAGAGAAGAATCACATTTATTTTTTCAAGATTCTTGTTGTTCCTACAAGTCAGTTCCTTGTTTAAGAAATTATGAGTTTTCATGATTCAGTATCATTTCAAATGCTACAAAATGTAAATGGTAGGACATAGGCAAAATCTTTTTCAGATGCTTTCATCAGCTGTTCTGGTAGGAGGCTTTAGAGGCCTTAAGAAGCAGATTTTTTCCAAAGACTACAAAATTATATGTTTGGAGATTTTTTTTTATTTACTCTGGCTGTGGTGCCTTCAGAATGCCACCACAGCCTAAAAACTGCCTTAAATATTGAAGGAGCTTATTATTGCTTTTCTCATGACATGTATAATGTAGTGAACTAAAAAAAAACTTAACTATGCTTTAATCCTTTAGCTCTGTCTTAATGTGTAAGGGCTTTAATTATCCAGTGGGATGTAACTCAGAACGCAGCAGCCTTTCAATAACGTCTGGGCAGAAGGAGAGATTTGTGACTACTTTAATCAAAGCAAGCGTTCTGAGCCCTGGGCTATTTTCACTACGCCAATATGTTAAAGGAAAACATAATAATGGAGCTTATTTTCATTCCCCGAATGCCACAGCAAATCTAGTGTGCCATCACAAACCTCCCATGAGTCTATTAAGTGAAAATGCTGTTTAAGATAATTAAGATCAAATTGCAAATCAAGATTTAAACCAGTGCTTTATTGCCAGTGGTAAGGACATCATGCAGACAAATAATTCTGACAATTTCATATATTAATAAAATATAAACAGCATAAAATAATGTATGCACATAGTATCAAATCTAGAAACATTTACAACTATATGTATAAGACAGCATATTTTATATGTAAAATGATCATCTTTGAAGCACATGATGTCCATTCATGCACACTGTAAACATAAAATAAAGCAAATTATTTAATTCAACAATGCAATACAGTATTTTGGAACATTCAGGGCCATTTATGTGCAGCAGCAACCTCCAAGCTTTATATATAAAGATGTATTAGTTAAATAATTTTTACTCCTGTGCATTATAGAAAAGAAAAATAACTTTTCCAGCCATGTGATCCTATAATCACATGTGTTACTATTGATTCTGATCCAGAGCAGAAGAATTATACAAATGGCAGTCTATTAGAACGTGGGCTGGCCCAAGATTATCTAAATATTGTTCTATTACTGTGCCTGTCAATCAAAGTCTCAGACCAGGCTGATGCCTGAATTACCAGGACAATACCTACAATTGTAGTCAGGCAATATGAAGAGAAAATTGTAAACACCATACCTGATATCATCATTCTCTGTTGTTGTCTTGGTCATATTTTACTACTCACTGAGTGAAGTCTGAAGACTGAGCAGCCCATTTGATTCTACAAGCATGAACAAGTCTGCCAGGCTTAGCAACAATAATGTACAAAACAGACCAAAGCTCGAGCAATACATGGATTATTTTAGGGGGCATATCTCATAGCACAAGACATTGGACTCTTGGCACAGAGTGTTGGATCCATATTACAGACTAAGGCAGGTGCATGAAAGAGAAGGCGATCCTAAATATATCCTTGAGAATCTCTGAAGACCAGAAGACACTTGGTGTGTCCTCAGTCGCTGCAGCTGTGTGCTTTAGCTTCGCATTAGATCAGTGCATTCATGTAATGATAAAAATGTAAAAATCTCCAAAATGAGATTATTGGATAAAATAATTAACTCATAATGATCCACGCATTGTTATAACCAAATATAATAGAATTATATAAAATATAACCCATTCTTACCCATTCCGATTTAAACCTGCTAATAAATGTACTGTATATAAACTCAAATATGTACTTCGTTAGTATTATGTAAAGTAGTTAAGATTTCTCAAATGCCAAGTCAATCAGCGGCTCAGCTTCTGTAATTGAGGTATAAAACCCATCCTGCCTGGCTGGTGCTGGACACTGTGCTGCCACAGTCAAATAACACATCAACAGTTTACAGGGAGGATATCCAATACATTATCAGGTAAACACTTTCCTGCCTTAAGCCCTCAGACTTTGAACAATGCCACTAGGGCTTTCTGGGCTTACCGAAAGCATTTCTTCTCAGACAGCCCACTTGCCTTGAGCTATACAATTTATCCCAGAGGAACTTACACTCACCTACCCACCAAACACACTCACACACAGACACAGACATCAGTGGCTGCAAGTTGACAAAAGCCTGGCCAAAGTGTTATTGCAGCTGCCTGTGGTCCTGCTCCCAGCCTGTCTCAGGCCAAAATGGGACACAGATGAATAGAAAAACACTGTCACAATGAAATCAGAAAAGATCATTTAAATGAAAAGCAAACATGTCCCAGATCTCAGAACACTGAAAAATTGAACACACTCAAAAGACACTCTATAAAGAGACACTTGCTGCTTTAAATATGTTGCCACAGTGGTAAAAGCAAACTGTGCCATGCAGAGATTTAATGATCCAGTAAGAAATGGTCATCTGCATATTTTGTGTGCATTAAATGGCTTCTGTTACATTCCCATTAGGGAGCCTTTCTGTGGGAGTTGCCTGCTTGTCCATCACACCCCATATAAAGGCGTAAGAAAAGTCAAATGTTTGGGAGCAACGAATCGCTGAGCAGATCCTTAAAGAACGCCCGGGCACCCACACACGCCTACTCCAAAAAAGTATTGGATGTCCAAAGGAATCCAGTCACCCCCCTTTTGAAAGTACATATTTGACAGGGCACAGTAAGGCAGAGCCTGCACTCCAGCTTAGCGTTCAGTTAGGCACAGACGCCCGAGCCCCTCTCCCACTCTCTTCTTTGGTTTTCATTTGGACGTTTTGTTGGTGCAGCCGAACAGCAAAAAGCAGCCATGGATGCCATCAAGAAGAAGATGCAGATGCTCAAGCTCGACAAGGAGAATGCCTTGGACAGAGCTGAGCAGGCTGAGTCAGACAAGAAAGCAGCAGAGGACAGAAGCAAACAGGTCTGCAGATATGTTTTCTTTTGTGGAAGATCTTTAGTAAAAGCAGGAATCCCAGTAGCATTATTTAACTGCTGCCCTTTAAATGGATCGCCTCCTAAATACGGATTAATTACGTTCAAGGATAATCCGACATAAGGATTAAATTAAGAATAACCCATCCTTCTGTGTTGTTTTGGATGTTACAAATCCTCCTCTCAACTGTTTTGGTGATGTAAATATTGGCTAAATAAATTATGTTGATAATTTTTTAATAATTATTATATTTTATTATTACATTTTGAATATTTTCGTATTTCTTTCATATTATGTTTAACTTTATAATGTCTTTTATATGCATGTATAGTTAGACGACGAAATAAGAGAGTTGGAAAAGAAATTGCGTATTACTGAAGACGAAAGAGATAAAGTGTTTGAGGAGTTCCAAACTGCTGAGGAGAAGCTGCTGAGCGCTGAAGAGGTCGCCACCAAGGTATCTGATTCTGACGTGCATGGGCTTCCCTAACTTTTCTCTTTTCTCTTTTCCCTGTCCTGTCCTCTCCTGTCCCGTGTGTCTATCTGTACGCGCTCTTGCGCCTTTGCGCGCTCACGCAACTCCGTCTCCCCGCTGATCACCTCTGAAACTGTGCGCGCACTGAAACTCGCCTCAGCTTGAGGACGATTTGGTAGCTCTGCAGAAGAAGCTGAAGGGAACTGAGGATGAGCTGGACAAGTACTCCGAGGCTCTTAAGGATGCCCAGGAGAAACTTGAGCTGGCTGAGAAGAAAGCCACAGATGTAAGTAAGAAAGGGATTCACAATAGCACCATTCCCGCAACACGCTTCCTCCACAACTTCATTCTCTCATCACTGTGTTTGTGTGTTTGTGTGTGTGTGTGTGTGGTGGTGGTGGTGGTGGTGGGGGGGGGTTGTTTCCTATCTGTGGCAATTCAAACTGCCCTCATTTTTATCTTATCTGGATTTGGTATCATGGCAAATTGTCAAAGTCAGAATTTACTTTTTGATCAAATGTCCATTGTTGAACTGTCGCTTTGTATTTTGTCAATGATCACATGCACAATCACTCACAAGTCAGCCCAAAGAAAGTCAGACATTATATATTTTTAATTAAATGTATCCATGGGCTAACTCATAGGCTATCATTTATACCCTATACTGGATAATGATTTTGTGTTCAGTCGTATATGTCCTATGCTGAAGAAGTCTTCTTCAGAGTGAAAAGTGCCTTATGCGCAGTATTCTTAGCGCAGAGGGCAAGCGCCTGGATAAATATAGCCCACTGCTTTATATGGTCAAGATAGAGCTCACATCTGCGGGCTGGGCTCTTTGCTTACCACAGGGGAAAACACAGTTTCCCATCAAAATATCCCAGGCAGCCTAGGCTACTATTAAAAAGAAATACAACTTACTTATCTACAGAAAAATTAAATAGGCCTTGATTCTTTTTTTAAAAATTAGGTTGTTGCCCATAATCCTTTCCTCACCTTTTGGTTAAATTGCATGGCAGGAAAACTATGTAAAGAATTTAGATTTAGGTATGTGATGGTCGCGAAGTGCTTGGGAGAAAAAAACACAGGTCCTCATAGAAAAAAAATATTTCACGATAAAACAATAACCGAGTAAAGGTTAATGTTTAAGTGGAGACACTTTGTCCACAAGAGTCAATCAGAAGAATCAATAGTGTGGCTTATAAATTGCTTCTTGGAAACCCCGTTGTAATAATCCTTTAATTGGATTCCTCCGGGGAGTTAGGCCACAGTGTCACTACTTTATAGTCTGGTGAGTTTTATCCTATCACACTTGATGCTGTATGTTATTCTCTATAGGCCTTTATACTGCTGTACTTTTCCCTTAATATTCCTATAGCAACGTTTAAGTAGGCCTATGGCTCCAGTGTTCAAATTAATTGAACAACTACTTAGTTTTTTATGGCCTTGTTTTTTTCCCCTTTCATATTATTGGACGGATTTTCTGTTATATTTGCAAAGTCTGAAACGTAGCCTGTAATTACTGTATTCAGTGAATAGAACCTATTGAATGGCCCGTGGTGTAGAAATATTTCACTGCCATGTGTACTGCTCACAGTTTACCGGCAGAGGGCGCTGTGGCTCTTAGTTCGCAACGAGAGTGATTATGACTGGATGCGTTTTTGTCATTAAAAATGAACTGTTACTTTGTATGAATGAAATGTTATTATTTTACAGGGCAGTGGAATATATTTTGGATATTTTTGCCACAACCCTGCAGAACCTACAATTTTTTTTTTGGTGTATTTTGAAATCAGAGGCACTTCCTGGACAAATAGCAGGCATTGCAGAGTGCTTCTCCAGAAAGCTTGCGCACCGTTCAGCCCGTCTTCACGCAGCTTTCAGCACAGTCAGGGACGTCATCTCGTTGCTTGACAATTTCTCGGAAATTGTGCTGCAACTCATAGTGTAGTGTTTGTTTGTTTTTAATAGTTGTACAATAAACAATGGCTGGAGCTACATCTCTGGAGGCAGTCAAACGAAAGATCAAATTCTTGCAAGAGCAGGCAGACGGCGCTGAGGACAGAGCCGAGAGATTACAGAAGGAGTTGCTTGCCCAGAGGAAAGCCAGAGAACAAGTAAGCATGTTTACCGCGTGTACAGCCGACCAGGAGCTGCTTATCGAACGCAAAAATTACACATCCTCCTCTTGTAGCCTTTCCTCTGTATGTGTGTGTTCCGCTCATGAAGGGCGACAGCTTGAATTGATGCACAGTGAGATAGCGGGATTTCTCCTGATGCCGTTGTCCTGCAAGCTGAGCTTGACATGGCCCCATGCAGTGACACCACAAAGTACCCTGAGGGTTTGAAAGCCAGCTGCTCCTGGGTAAGAGCTTATAATTGGGAACGTTAGGCCGCTGATGCCCAAGTCAGAGCAGTTGTACAACCGTGGCACTTCTATCACTGTGTTGCTCCATCTCCCGGCGTTGTGTCACTTGCATCTCCGTTGATGCACTTTGCTGTAACGGCCCCATTCAACCTGCTTTCCAGGAAGTTCCGTTTTTTTGTTCTATTCTACAGGCACGCGAGTCGTTGGTTAAATATTTGAATACATTATTTTCAGCAACCAGGAAGTTGTAACTAAGCTGTGGCAACGTTTAAGGTGCAAGTGTGCACCGTGAGCTTGTGCTCTTTGACTTGCCCTTATAAGGACAACAGGTTTTCACAGCTACGAAGAGTGATTTCCCTCAGTGTGAACATAGCCGCAGTAATCTAGACGGGAAATAAATCTTTCTGCAAGGGCTTATATCTGTCTGAGTATATCACAGGCTTAGCCTGTTCGTTTGTAATTGATCATAATCATCCAGTGAGGTATTTTGAATGGAGTCGAAACTCCTTCTTCAGTTTATAGATCATTACTAACTTCCTTGCCAGGCTTTACACAACTTCAGATGCACTTTGGTCCAGCACTACAAACATTTTTCATTTTAAGTACATTTGTGGTTGTTGCCTCTTTTCACTGTGCATTTGTGAGCATACACCAGAAAGCAGAAGTAGCTATAGGTTTGAATAGTCATAGAAGATCTGCTCCTTTTAAAGTCATTGTTTAATCAATGAATTATCTTCAAAGATACCAGATTATTTAAGGTGGAGCAATATGATGCAAATGTGACCAGTTCATTTAAACTGAAACGTCTGCTACAGTTAAGAAGTATCCAGGGAGTGTCCTCTGTGGTTGTATGGGTACCAGATGAGCAGTCATTTTCAATATAATTGTCTCAGGGCCTTTGACTCCAGCCATGTTTTCTCGGGGGCCTAGTAATGAGGCAGGGCATCCAACCTTCTGTCCGCTCGGGTTATCATTATACAATGAGGAGCACAGGCAAGTCTCCGGGGAGGTCTTTTCCCAACAGGTGGCGTGCAGAAACACTTTCGAACAACACTGACTACACATTCACCCACCTGGCATAAAGCAAGTTGAAGAGCACCACAAAAAAATCTAATTCACCACCTACTGTTCATTCTTTGGGCTGACGTGTACATGTGCACTTGTGTGATTTCCAGGCTGTATGTTATAGATGGTGACCTCCAAATTCTCTGACGTGCTCTTCTTCTCTTCCTAGGCTGAGGGAGATGTCGCTTCCCTTAACAGACGTATCCAGCTGGTTGAGGAGGAGTTGGATCGTGCTCAGGAGCGTCTGGCCACAGCCCTGACCAAGCTGGAGGAGGCTGAGAAGGCTGCTGATGAGAGCGAGAGGTGGGTTCTTGTGAGCAACACGGACCCTTCATCACTCGCTCTGGCTCTCTTGCTGCAGAGACCAGTTGGCGGGGGCAGTGTTTCCATCCCTTTGTGACGGGTGCAAGCAGAGCCTCTGTGCTGCAGAGCTGGATGTCAGACACTCCACTGTCACACTAGCTGTGTTAGATAGAGCAGTCATTTCTTAGCATCCCAAATGATTTTCTCCCTCTTTCAAACAATTCACCTTTAGGGGTGTATATTAAGGATTTGCCAACCAACACTACTGTGCTCCAGACGTGTGTGTCCTCAGGGAGACTGCAGGACGCCTGTCAGGTCTCAGCTCCTGATATCTAAACAACTCCTTTGTTTCCTCACACAGAGGCATGAAGGTCATTGAGAACAGGGCCATGAAGGATGAGGAGAAGATGGAGCTGCAGGAGATCCAGCTGAAAGAGGCCAAGCACATCGCTGAGGAGGCTGACCGCAAATATGAGGAGGCGAGTGTTCCAGCCACTGGCAGCCACCCCAAACACCAAATGTGCAGTTGCTCCTTTACTGCAATCAGTAATTCTGGGATAGACTTTTTACAGTTATTGACAACGTAATGATAATAGGTGGATTTCCCAGATGTAATTATTTCTTTAATAATATCTTAATCTGTTAACTTTATGTAAATGATCTGTGTTTTAAGGACTGATTGGGAAGTATTTTTACCCATATGCCTATTTATGGCAACTCTTTTGAATTTTCAATTTAAAATCAGCTGCTTAGATTCAAAATCAGATCTATGCATATACTAATGTATTTGTCAACAACTGTAATTCTTGTTGGCATCCATAAGTGGAGGCTGATGTATAAACAGATAATGAATGACAATATAGTTAAACACAGCTGTAATTAGTGATGGAATGTAACTACGTACAAATAAGTAGTACTTTACTTGAGTATATCCATTTTACCTTATGTTACTTTATATTTCACTACAAGGAAATATTCAAATCTATACTCCTTCACACATATTTGACAGCTTAAGTTACTAGTTACTTTACAGTTTAACATTTTGCTTACAAAACGATTGAAGAGCTTATAATATATGATGCTTTGTTATAGAATAAACTATCCAGCAGAATATACATTTGACAATTAGTTGATGAATCTATTAATCAGTTGACAGAAAATCTACAGTAACATCTGATTATGCTTACACATTTTTACTTAAGTAACAATTTCAATGCAGGGCTTTTACTTGTAATGGATTCACAGAAATATATTAGTACTTTTAGTTCCACAACTGGTTGCAATAATATAAAATAGGGACCATGTCTTCATAGAAGAAGTCATAATTGTTGGCAAATACTATACATTGAGAAACACTAAAAATGTCCTTGTATCTACATTAGAATGTGTTATTCACCATTTGTTTTTATCATGCTTATAAATGCTAAATGAAGGGGTGTCGATCCGTCTATGTGTAGATAAATCATATTAGAGTGGTCCTTTCTAGTATTTGTTGTGTTGTAACACTTTTTTGTGCTGTACCTAAAGGTGGCCCGTAAACTGGTCATCATTGAGGGTGACCTGGAGCGTACAGAGGAGCGCGCTGAGCTGTCAGAAGGGTAAAACATTTCAACCCTTACGCGCACTTCATCTACACTTGCATGTACACTTGCATGTAAACCGGCATTTCAACAAATGGCGCTTTCAGCACTAACACACAAAGTATTGGACGTGTGATAATTTGAACAGTGTGTGCCCTGTGTACTGTATATGTTGACTATTTGCATGCTCTCCTCCATGTTTTGAATGGTTTTGGTCTGCACGCGTACGCCACACCCACTAACAGAGCAGCTCGAAGAGCAGAGGATGAGCTAAGGGTTTTGGAGCAAAGCATGAAATCACTAAAATCCACAGTCACTCAGGTACTACAAACAAAGACTAACACAAACACTTTGATGAGTGGCTCGGGCCACTGTCATTCATGCTGTTGAGTTAAGCTTCTGCTTTCCTTGCTGTGCTTGTATTGTTTTTTTTTCCTCTTTAATGCTCTTTTATTCTGGGTATATTAGACTCTTTTACGCCTCTAACATGGCAGAGACTGTGCGAGAATTACACCTCACGTTTAAGAGAAGCATGATATTTAGATGTGGAAATACCATTGACCAAATTATTAATTTTGATGTAACCTACTACTCTTTGTGTGATGAGTGACATTGCTATTCTCACATTCCTGCTCTGTTAAGGCACTTGTAAGGTACTTGGGGTTTCCTCCTCGTTTATTCCCTGTAGTTCTTATTTATTTTGTTTCCTCTCCCCCTCTTTCTTACTTTCCTCCTACTTGTTTTGTGTCAACCTCTGGTTCTGTTCATCCTTTGCTCCCCTCCTTTTCCTCCATCCCCCTCTTCTTCTCTTTGGCAACTTTATCCCCTTGTCTAAAACACCAGCAAATGCTCTGAGCTTGAGGAAGAGTTGAAAACTGTGACCAACAACCTGAAGTCACTGGAGGCCCAGGCTGAGAAGGTAAGTGCGACCTTATGGCCGAGTGCATGCTGTCAACCACACAGGGTGGATGGGGAGCATAAGAGCCTGGGGAGCCCAATCTCTTCACTTCTGTTTTATTTCATAATACCTCTCTGTAAATATGTATTAAAATGTGTTTGAATGCTCTAAGACATTCAGAGTTTGACTACATGTCCATATGTTTGACACCTGTCATTGTTTTTGTTCCACAGTACTCACAGAAGGAGGACAAATATGAGGAGGAGATCAAGGTCCTCACTGACAAGCTGAAGGAGGTAAAGTTTCACTCAAAAGTCTTTATCTTGGGTTGCAGGCCGCGTCCAGGATCATTTATACAAGCCACATGTGCATTTTCACAGTTGGATTAACTCATAAATCTCTCTCTCTGTAACACAGGCTGAGACTCGTGCTGAGTTCGCTGAGAGATCAGTAGCCAAGCTTGAGAAGACCATTGATGACTTGGAAGGTATGTTTTTTTTGCCCCACACTCTAAAATGTTACTCTGGTTATTTAGAAAGTGTGTCGTTGATGGTATTTGTGCTCAGCGCTTTAAAAAAAATCTCTTTAGCCCATTCTTTGCTTACTGTATTTCTGCTTCCCTCTTAATCTCATCGTGGTTCATTTTCAGAGAGCATCAAACTTTTGTTATAGTGACCCTTATCCTTCCTTTTAAGTCTAGTTGATTTGTTTTTGAGTTTCAAAGTAGGAAAGAAAGGCTTTGATGTTTATCAGCAATATCAGGCCTAAGTGCTGGCTCAGTGTTCAAGAAATCAGATTGAGGTCTAAGGGCTGAGAGCCATGCAGCATGGTACATACATGGTCCATTTCTTCATGGCGCTGCTGAATTTTCCATTCTCTAATTTTCTGGTGTAACTTTGCTTTCCTCTTTTTCCCCTGTTTTCATTTTTTTCTGTCACCTCCCTGTCTTGTCAATGGTCTGGATGCTTCACCCTTCACCTCCTTGTCACGCACTCCTTCACCTTTGCTTACTTTCACTGCACCTCCCTCCCTCCTGCTCCTCTGGCCCACCAATAGATGAGTTGTATGCCCAGAAACTGAAGTACAAGGCCATCAGCGAGGAGCTGGACCACGCCCTCAACGACATGACATCCATGTAATTTTCAACTTGCTGCACCTGCCTGTTCCGTCGTCACCCTCTCTTCCCCTCTGCACCTATCTTCCCCGTACAACAGCTGCCTCAACTCCATCGTCTCCGTTATATTTCCTGTACCCATCATCATTAGTACATCCAAGTCTTGTATCTGTTCCTCCACTTAACATAGTTATGCATCTATGTTTTTATATAGTCTTAAAGTGTAATGTCTTAAAACAGACATTGTGGTATTCCGTGTCTGTGTAATTGAAGCCTGCATGCAATAATTATAAGTGTTTTCCTCTCACACTGCTGTATTCGTGTGGTCATGATGATACTTTATGATACCTTTGGATCAGTATCATTGGTGTTTGAGAATACTGTAAACAGGAATGAAGTCATGTTATGCATGAACAAAACTTCAGTGATCTGGTCTCTGTTTACATTTCTTATCCAGGTCAATTGTGAATGGTATCACTTTATTGTGAAAAGTAGCTTTGATTTCAAAATATTCATGATATTTTCACATGATATTTTGACATCCTAAGCCACGCATGCAAGTTGCCTCATGAAACGTAGTAGACTTGGTTACAAAAGCATTTCAGTGAATCTGATTCACTCACTGTAAGGTTATGAGTGTTTCCTCTTTCCTTTTTCTACTAACATGGTCTACTTCTGTCCAGAAGAAAGGCCCGCTGTGTGATTTGAGAGCCCCCTTTGTTCTGTTACAGTTTAGCATCACTGTGGTTGAGACCCCAGTTTTGCTAAATGAGTGTTGTCCCTCAACATTTGGCCATTCTGTGGGAGATTGACAAGACACACGACATCTGTCTGGTCCAGCGCCGCTGCTCCTCGCGTTTTAGCAGAAATGTCTCGATGTAATCAGAGAGAGGCATTGGTCTGACCTCCAGTTAGTGCTTGTCAGCGTGTCCTACCTCACAATGCATTTCCACTGTGCATTGGGGTTGTTGTAGTGTTGTGCCGTGACTCATGTGGTTCTAGTTTATAGATGTGTACATCTTAAACTTCTGTAGGTTCCCACACAGACCCCCTGGTTCACTTTACTTCTTCTCTCCCACACAGATAAAATTTTTACACCTCATCAAAGACGCCTCCTGCCGGCTGAGCGGCATCTGTCTGCTCTCTCCAGCCTTCTCTCCATTTTCCTTTCCCTCTCTGTGTTTGCTTTCCTTTCTTCCTCATGTTTTCATCCTCATGTCAAAGTTGATTGCATCCCATCTCTTGTACAGAATCCTAGAATCTTTCTGCATTGTGTAAAAAATAAACACCCTTCCTTCTATGTAAGCTGTATCTCTTTACTCTGTCCTTTTTTTCTTTTTAATTTCTATTTATTTTCAAGTGGCTCTAATAAAATCAGGAAGCCTTGATTTTACGTTATGTTTTTGTTTGTTATGTTTCTTCATCTCCACAAACCATTAGTTGAGCTGTACCCTGCTTTGGTGTAGTTTTAAAGATGGCAAAGGATGTTCTTTTTATTTTCTTCAAATATTGTTCTCTGAAGCTGAGATATTAGGAATATCACAGTAGTGCTATGAGCACAGAAACCTAGAACAACCACAGGTACTTGACTGAAAGCTGAGCCAAGATGTCTTCTCTATTAGCATTTGAGACTGATGCATGCAAGCACTTTTCAACATTTAGTACTGTGACAGTAGGAGCGGAATGGAAAGATTTGAGTATTGGAGGGAAATAGTGTTGGATTGTTAGCAGGAAGATTGCGGAAGAGTAACAGGTGGAATGGTGGAACACAGAACAGTATGTAAGATTTGTTGAGCATCATCTGGTTGCTGGAAAATTTGGATGAAACTGCTATCGGTGATTATGACACATGGGCTTTGTATCCTGTCATATATTTGAATAAATATAAAATCACACATTTTGAGTGTTTTTTTTATTAAAGTCAATACTGTAAATCCAGACACAGAAAGAAATGCAGAAGTGAGCAATTTTCCAGTGTGTTTTGAGACTTTATAATTCAAGTTGGACTAGAGAACAATAGTTTAGCCACATCCTTAAATGTCAGATCAAACCGAGGCTACAAAATGGTTGATTCTCAGTAACAGTTTATCCAGTTCTGGTGTTGAGCATATGATAAGATGCACTGGATAGAGAATTTTATGCCCAAAATGGCAGATATGGTATTCAATATATTCAGTTTGTTGCCACACTATCCAATGTTAGATTTTATTTTAAGGTTAAGTTTCCCTGCTACAGTTCCTTTCTTTTTTTAAAATCCTGTTTTCACTCTACACACTGTCCTGCCTTGCTTCACCTTTTGCAGACAAAATCTAAAGAGTGGATTGCCTCTCAAAAATACAAGAACATTGAAACACTGTTTGACCATGTTATTTAAAGGCTATTCAGATATTGTCAGTGTATTTTATAAAGATTAAAAAAGTCTCCAGTGATCTATTCTAGAAAAGGTAGGTGTCAACAGGCATTGCATTTCAGGCAACAGGCGTTTCTTTTCCTCTGATTTCATGTCCTCTCTCTGTTTTTCAACCTGCTTTCTGACTGCAAAGATCCCCTCTACCAGCAGCTTCAGAAAAACCGCCTTCTCACTAATGAACTACGCGTGGCTTTGAATGAGGACTAAATTGTGTGAATGTTTTATGTGTTTGTTATGGTTTTGTTTTTAATGTGTGCGACAATCTGATCCAGTTTAAGATCCAAAGCTCTTCCGTTTGCGTTGTCCACGTACGATGCTTGCACTGCTTGAAATCTGTGTTGCTGTTTGTGGAAAAGTAATTAAAATATAAATAAAATCACGGATTATTGCAAATATATAATTTTATAGTCTTACATCCTAGTATTATAACATTGTACAATAATCACTTTTTTATGGATTGTTGTTATATTTATGTGTCTTAATAAGAGCTTTGTTGTAGACTGTGACCTTTTTGCATGGTTGCTTGCATATCATAATACGAGCTTGTTAACTGAATGTGTTTGTCTTGTTTCCTGTCAGTGAAGTGTAGGTCTGGTTTAAAAGCACTCAAATGTAATGACTGATCTGAATGATGTAGCCAGCTTGATTATTAATGCAAGCTAACCGACTAACTCACTCAATGCTCGCTTGTGTGAGATTAAAACTTCTTCATTTCATGTTCTAACAGAGAAACTGTCACAAGCTAAAGAAGAGAACCTCGATATGCACCAGATGCTGGACCAGACTCTAATGGAATTGAATAACTTGTGAAAGCACGGTCTGACCCCACGCACACTGTGGTTTTGGCTTTTTGTACCTGCACCTTGCTTACCATAAACCCCTCGTCTCGTACCTTGCCCATGGTGGAGATTTCAAACAGCCTGATGCTATTCCTGCCTTCAGCGGAACTCGACCAAGGAGCAAAGCTAAGGGGAAGTAAAGCTTAACCATTCCCTTTGATAAAGCCGAAAAACAAGAGTGTTTACGCAAGCCAAGTTTTTATCTTGTAATTTTGTCTGCCTTTTGCAATCCTTGAGATAGTTTTTTTTGACAAGTCGTCTGGTGAAATGACACGTGCCATTGGTTGCAAAGATTGTTTTTCTACATCTGCATTGAAGCTGATCTGGTACGTTCCATTCCACCTTGATTATGCACATACCAAAGGACAAAGTGGAGAAATTTTGCACTTAATTAAACCTCAATATTATGCACATTTTGCATTCTGTAAGACAAACTATGTTTAAAAAGGCACATGCCCCCCTCCCAGAACATGTGTTTAAGTATACATTGGCTTTGCCTGTCAGTATGTATACTGGTGCTACTGTCTTGTTAAGCAATGACCAAAAATGCTAATGCATTACAGTATGTTCTTAGATTTGTTTAAAACCATGGTTCAAAATTTATTCATCTTGTCTGTAAAGTATGATTTCAGTCATCTGGTTGTGCATTGTTTTAGCATTGTATTAATGTAGATGTTTCAAGTGTTTATCATATCTGAAATGTACAAATGATGAATATAAATAAAAGCACGTTTGGAAAGTTTTCTAACTTTGTTTGTGGTGCATGCATAGACTTTTTGAGGTGGACCAAATTAAAGGTCTAAATATATTTTGGGGTGATTAAATAAAACCTGATGCAATGCACAGGAAAAGAAAGCTTAGTTAATAGACCTTATCTTTCCCCCCAAAAGGTGTAGAATGTGTTACATTTTCCAAACATCTGTTCATTTTGCAGCTTTGTCGCATTACTCCTGGCTCATTTGTTTGACCCTCAGTTTGACTTCCAGCTGGGGGAAAAACATTGTCATGTGTTTCTTGGTTCACTGGAGCTCACTAAGCTCCACTGGACCATATCAGGTCAGTTTCAGATTAATCAAAGCATGCAGCAATGGTAGAAAACTAACTAAATGGTTAAATAAGAGTTCTTGCATTCAAGTTTATGTATCAAGGTAAAAGCCTGTATTGGTTGTAAGTGTTGGTGTGTGTGGACCTGGCTTATCAGTATATGGCTGGGCGGTTATTTAAATGTGAACTATAGTTTATGGCCTTATGATAAACTATAACTTTACATGACTATATAGTTTGCATGCTATCTTATTTTAGTTATTCAAATGCAGTGTTTCCCTTTGACTGTAATGTAATGGGTTAAAAGCTTGCAAAATAAAGTACAATACAGTCTAAAGGGAGAGCACCTCAAATAATTTATATAGCTAAAGTGTTTCTCAGTAGCTCATTAGGCATGGAAAAAAATGTTCTTCACATGTGTTGACAGCATCTAAGTAGTTAGAATGACCTCTGTGAAAGTCCTTTGTTGCACCAGCAAGGAGATAAGGGTGTGTGTGTGTGTGTGTGTGTGTGTGTGTGTGTGTGCGTGTGCGTGCGCGCGCGCGTGTGTGTGTGAGAGAGAGAGAGAGATGTACATGGTCCTTGAGATAAGCTTGTGAAGGCTGTGTGTTAAGTTGACAACCTGAGAATTAGTCAGTAATTGTCCCCGAACGTGAACAAGCATGTTATTGAAAATCTATCAGTTCACTTCACTTTGTTTCAGACCTTAAATACTACTAGCCTATATATTACATTTTATGCAAAAATCCTGGGGCCTCAGACCCCCAGAGTGTACCCAAAAGCCACACTGCATGTTAACTTTGATTAACACATTTGCAATATCAGCCAGGCGGGTCCTGCAATAATATCATTGTGCTTGCATTGTGCATTTTACTAACAGGCCTATGTAAATAAAGTTGATCAAATTTCCTCCACCTTAACTGACAAAGAACCTGGTGCCAGATATTATTTGAGCATAGGAGTAATGATCGGTCTCTGGGCAGTATGATGTGTGCTTTGTACTTAATGGTAGTTTGGAAGAGATTGGGTAGGCTACAGAATGCACAGAAGAGGGGGGTGGAGGCCAAACAGCTACTACTACATTGTCTGTATCGCAGATAGAATTACCCTACCTCACTGGATCTACTCCGAATCATGATTTGATTAATTTGGTCTGGCTCGACGATGCAAACAGGAAGTCGTTGTCATAACTGGGTTCATCAACCAGGGAGAGGTATCAGCTCTCGCCATCGAAAAGCAACAGAAGCAAGATATTTAACAATGTCCCGGTTTTTTTGCCAAATCGTTTTTGCGCCAAATGTACCCTGCTAGCAGCGCGAGAGTCTCCTTTGTTGACACAGCGGGTCGGAGCGCGAGTCAAGCCACAGCTGTCAGATAAGCGGAGTGTTTTTACTCAACAACAAAGACGATATTTCGCACGGTCAAACACTGCCTTTTGTAAATACAGATCAAAGTCCAGGATTTGGATATGTGGGCTTGGTGTGGGGATTGCTTTAACTGTCGGACTGAAATACCGCACTGACACAGCCAACAGTTCCTGTGATGATAAAGTAAGAGAAGCGCAGAAGGCTGATCGATACAGCGATGCCATAAAAGTTAGCAGGGACCTTGTGGAGCGGATAAAGGTAGGCATAGAGGTAGGCCTGTGAACTGCTTGGTTTTTCCACTGAACACCACTTTCCCTTCTCTCTCGCCTTATAACGTCACTCCCAGCCTAACTTCAATGCCACCTGTATCAATTCAGTGTTTGTTACACGCAGGCTGAGGTCGGGGCTCCAGGGCTGGTGGTTGGGGTCTCCGTGGATGGTGTACAAGTCTGGCGTGAAGGTTGGTGCCTGAAAAGTCCACTTTAAATGTGCTACGTGTAGCATTTATACAAATGACAATAATAAATAATCAAACCAATGTAGCTAGTCTGATTTTCCCAGCATCATTGTATTGTGGGCCCACCTTAAGCCATCTGGATGAGCCAGTGCTTCACTAGTTTGGCTTGTGCGATGTTGGACCACAACCAGGGATTTCATAATTTTAGGGGAATGGCCACTTGTCCTCTAGTATTGTCATTTTTTTTTTTTTTAGGGCAGCAAGGCCATCAAATGAAACAATAATTCTGATGTTTTCTAATTTGTTGTTGTGTAATTAATGCTAAGTACTAACTTGTCAATAATCATAACCATGCATGCATAACATTGAGTTTCGAAAGTTTACTATTGCACGTCAGTCTTTTGTTAATGTCCCGCCCTATCCGGCTGTGATTGAAGTTGTGTTTCAGTAAAAGGCACCCGATATAGGCTAAACAGCCAGCAAGCCAAACCCAAACCTTGAATATATTATCTTCTCTCTTATGGCTTCAGCTGCAAAACCTTGACCAACAGTTGAACTGGTATTGAGGATTTTGAGGAGGAGGATGCAGGCTGCTTCTTAATCAAAGTGGGCCATCGATGCATCTCTCACTCTCGTTTGGGCTACTGAAGCGGCCCACAGAGCAACCCGGTGCTCTCGACGGCCTGTGGTTTCTTGTCTTATTCATTATATGTTTGAGGGGCATGAGGCCAAACTGAGGGTGCACAGCAGCTATGGCCTCCATGAAATTTCTGCCCACAATACAAATGCATGCTGGTCCAGTGTTAGAATAGTCTCAATATTTTATATCAAAGAAAACTAACCCCACATTTGCGTTTGTTACATGTGGACCAACAATGGTACAGCTAGGGCTATAACTATGAGAATAATGGTTACTGCCAAGTAATTGGCCAATTACGATAATTGATCGATTTATTATTCTGCCTGTGTGTGGTGTAAAGGTGCGAAAATAGTAAAGAATCCATTCACAATAATTCCTCAGAGCCCAGGTGATGTCTTCAAATCACTTGTTTTGTACAATGATATTGGACAGTGAAAAGTAGCAAATCTTAATATTGGACAAGCTTAAGTTTAAGAGAATATTTAGCATTGTAAAATGACTCCCACAATAAATCGTTCTTTGTCCATCAACTAATGAACTTATTGACTAATCGTTTCATGTGTAGGTACAGTGGGGGAAAAAAGTATTTGACCCCTTGCTGATTTTGCAGGTTTGCCCACTTACAAAGAATGCAACGATCTATAATTTTAATCATATGTACATTCAAACAGTGAAAGACAGAATCTCAAAGAAAATTCCAGAAAATCACATCATATGAATTCATTAAAATTGATAACCATCTGATGAGGAAAAACAAGTATTTGACCCCCTGGACAAACAGCATGTTAATATTTTGTAGAAAAGCCATTATTGGCCAGCACAGATGTCAAACGGTTTTTATAGTTGGTGACAAGGTTTGTGCACATTTCGGCAGGGATGTTGGCCCACTCCTCCCTGCAGACAGCCTCCAAATCATTCAGGTTGGAGACTGGCTAGGCCACTCCAGAACCTTGATGTGCTTCTTCTTCAGCCACTCTTTTGTTGCTTTGGCGGTGTGCTTAGGGTCGTTGTCGTGCTGAAACACCCATCCTCGACCCATCTTCAGCTCTCTCACTGAGGGAAGGAGATGTTGGTCCAGAATTCCACGATACATGGCCCCGTCCATCCTCCCCTCAATACGATGGAGTTGTCCCGTCCCCTTGGCTGAAAAGCACCCCCAAAGCATGATGTTGCCACCACCATGATTGATGGTGGGGATGGTGTTCTTTGGGTTGTACTCGGTGTTCTTTGCCCTCCAAACACGACGAGTTGAGGCCAAAAAGTTCTATTTTGGTCTTATCTGACCACATCACCTTCTTCCAGGCCTCTTCTGAGTCGTCCAGGTGGTGAATGGCGAACTTCATGCGGGCCTGTACATGTTTCTTCTTGAGCAGGGGGGACCTTGCATGCGCTGCAGGATTTCAATCCATGACGGCGTAGTGTGTTACCAACCGTTTCTTTTGTAACTGTGGTCCCAGCTGCCTTCAGTTGATTCATCAGTTCCCCCCTTGTGGTTTTGGGATGATTCCTCACCGTTCGCATGATCAGGAGACACCCCACGAGGCGAGATCTTGTGTGGAGGCCCAGACCGAGGGAGGTTGGCAGTGGTGTGGTGCTTCTTCCATTTCCTGATAACTGCACCGACAGTTGATCTTTTCTCTCCAAGTTGTTTTCCGATTCTCTTGTAGCCCATCCCAGCCTTGTGCAGATCAACAATCTTGTCCCTGATGTCCGTAGAAAGCTCTTTGGTCTTGCCCATGGTGGTGATGTTGGATGCTGGTTGTTTGGGTGTTGACAGGTGTCTTTTATACAGGTAACGAGGTGAGGCAGGTGTATTTGATGTAGATAATTGGTTGGGATTGGGGCTGTGTCTTAAAGAAAGACTAACTGGCTTGTAGGAGCCAGAATACTTGCTGTTTGTTAGGGGGTCATATACTTGTTTTTCCTCATCAGATGGTTATCAATTTTTATAAATTCATATGATGTGATTTTCTGGAATTTTCTTTGGGATTCTGTCTTTCACTGTTAGAATGTACATATGATTAAAATTGTAGATTGTTGCATTCTTTGTAAGTGGGCAAACCTGCAAAATCAGCAAGGGGTCAAATACTTTTTTCCCCCACTGTACAATGCTAACTATATGTCTGTGTTCTCCCATTTAATTAGTGTTGTAACTAACATTATGCCAACATTGGCATAATGTTTTGTATTGGGGACTATATTATGGTCCACAAGACAAATTAATGCTGTTATAGTGAAGTTGGCAAGGTTGCTGAAAGTTCCCACCCTTGATAATGTGGTTGTCGATTGCCAACCAAATTATCGAAATTGGCTTACTATCTAGGAACAATTAGAAAAACATAAGAAACAAATAAATTATTAACAAAAAAAGCTTTTAAGCTTTAGCTCTGTTTGCCTTGGAACACAGGTGGCTCACTTCCAGTTGTCAACTGAAGTGGCATTTTGTTTGTGCCATGAATCAAGTCAGCAGAATCGCAGAGAAACCTGACCCAACAGCACATGATGTGAAATTAAGCATCACCCTCTGCCGTGGTCTCTTTGCTTTACTGTCTCAAAATTGATGTGAGTGGATTTTCACAGTAAATGACTTTAAAATGCAACACATGTAATATTATGCTTAAAGCACATGACGCATTTAAATTCTTCATGTAATTTAGGGATTGGTTTTGCTGATTTGGAGAATCGTGTGCCATGCAGCCCAGAAACAGTGATGCGAATCGCCAGCATCAGTAAGCCCCTCACATCTGCAGCTGCTGCACGACTGTGTGAGGAGGGGAAACTAAATCTTGATGTCCCAGTCCAGAAATATGTCCCAGAATTTCCCCAGAAACAATTTAATGGACAGGATGTAAGTGACTTGAACAAGATGTCAGAGTTGTCTCATTATCAGCAGTAATATCATGCCTGTTCCTTTTTGTGTTCAACATGGACATCATGTGGACCTCCATTTATTCTTTTTTTTCAGGTCACAATAACCCCTCGTATGATTCTGTCCCACCTAAGTGGTATACGACATTATGAGAAGGATGCAAAGAAAGTGAAGGAGGACAAGGAGAAAGCTAAGCGACTTTTAAAGCCACCCGTTAAAGAGAAAGATGATGAAAAGAGCTCAAACAAAGATAAACCCTCAATAGAACAGAACACCAAAGGCAAAGAAGCGACTCCGGCTCAGAAGAAAAAAGAGTTTGAGCATGAGGAATACTACTTGAAGGACAACTTTGAAAGTGTCACTCAGGCCTTGGACCTCTTCAAGGACGACCCACTGATTTTCAAACCTGGTAAAGCCCATATTTGCTTGCTAAACCTTTTAAACAGGAATCACTTTCAATGTTATTGTCTTGATTAGTAAGACAGATTTTTTACCATGCGCAGGCACCACTTTTCTGTACTCCACCCACGCCTTTACCCTGCTTAGTGCTGTCCTGGAGCAAGCTGCTGGGCAGAACTTCCTGGATCTCATGATGAACATGTTCCGTGAGCTGGGAATGCTCAATACTGTGCCAGATGAGAATAGCCCAATTATTTACCACCGCTCCAGGTATCCTATAACCACCAATGTCAAGTTATGTCCAAAGACAGGGAAGATGTATCAGTAATTTCAGAGGAAAACTTTGTAGACATCTGATTTCTTTGATGTTGTTTTGATTACTGTTTGTTGAGTGCACAACATGATAAAAATCCAATAGTGAGTCCCTTAATCGTTGATTCTCCTCCACAGATTTTATCATCTCAACAAGAGAGGACGTGTTGTGAACTGCCCATATGTAGACAACTCCTACAAGTGGGCAGGAGGCGGCTTCCTTTCCACTGTGGGTGACCTGCTGCTGTTCGGTAACGCCCTGCTCTACAGCTACCAGGTGGCCCACCTAAGGGACACTAAGGGCTTGCTCCCTGGCTTCCTCAAACCCAAAACTGCTGTAGATCTGTGGGCACCAGTTGACAGGACAGAGGCCAGCTGGGACAAGGATGGACTGTATGCCCAAGGCTGGCTGGTAGTGGAGCAACTACAGAAATATGGCCAGTGCAGGAAGCGCAGGCACTATGTGTCACACACAGGAGGCGCTGTGGGGGCTAGCAGTGTCCTCTTGGTGTTACCCTGTGATAAGTTTGACCAGCACCAAGGACAGACCCCCCTCCTCCCACAGGGGGTGGTGGTCACCATCATTACTAACATGCAGTCTGTGGGACTCAACAGCACAGCACTGAAAATTGCGAATGAGTTTGATAAAGCCAGAAGCCTGTAAGAACAGATTGTTTCCAGATATGTGTGACTTCAGATTTTTAGTGAAACTACACCTTGTGATGTAATTGTGATAAAGCTTTTAAATTCCAGAGGATGTTTTAGTAAATGGCATAAATCTTTAAGATGTATTTTCTATGTGTTATGAAATTTGCAAACTCAACTTACTTTCCATTACAACACTTGGCAGGGAAGCCATATGGCCACTAGGTGGAAGCAAATTACTGCATTTCTAATACAGAAAGAAGGCCACTGGCTTGTTGACTCAATAAAGAGGCTCATGCATTTATATCTTTTTATAACTAAAAGCTAACACAAGAACATTTTAAGATATATATTTCTGCATTTGAGAGAAATAAAACATTTCATACACAATGGAAAGAGGTCGGTTGCTATTTAAAGCAGGATGGTACACCTCCAAAGTTTCTTTGTCACATATAGTGACTTTAAAGGCCCACCTTGCACAGATATTTCCTCGTAGCAACATGACAGGCATTGGGAAAAAACCTGTGGTGTGTTTACCTAATAGTGTCCCTATATCGATAATCAATAGGTTGACATTTTCACTTTTGACTTTTGAGATCACTTTTATATAATGCCAGTAAATCCTGACTTAATAAAACAAGAACAATTCCATCTTTTGATGCCTGAATGAGTGTGCTGCAAAGCTTGTTCATCAATGGTGACAAGAATTTTAGGGAGTAACTGAGCTGTCGGCAGTCCAAGTCTATTTTTTTTTCCCCCTTCTTGTTTTTACAGTTGGTTGTTAGCAACTGTTGGAGAATACTGGAAAATACTGGAAGTATATCAAAACAGAAAGACTAACAAACTGTTGGAAATGCAGTCCAACAAGTTTTGTCTCCTAAGCTCACTGAACTGAAGTATATTTTATACCGCCATTCTCATTATGAATCTCCAGGGATCCCCTGTGCCCGTTTTTAGATTTAAAGGAACTGATGAGTGGTTTGGGATATGCTAATTATACAGACTCCCACACACAATGTATCAGTCAGTTTTCTGTGTGTGTTTCTTTATGTCCAGCTTTGTGAGAGCCAATTTGAGTTATAAAACTGGAGTGACACAATTTTTGAAAAGTGGGGTCATTCTGACCAGTCCTGACTACTGTAATGGGCAATTATGGTTTTAAGATTAAGAATAGGCTAAATGTTGAGGTTAGGAATGCTGATGGCGAATGGCCAATGACTAGTCCATCAGGGTGTGTGTGTGTGTGTTCGTTCTAGCAGAAATCACGGTCAAATCATTCCAGTAGGGATCATTGCATATATTTACACATTTAGAAAAGATAGAATATTGAGTATATTCATTCATTATGCTTTGTAAATACATTTCAGACAAAGCACACATATTGAAATGTGATTTAACACAAGTAACACCAGTGCCAACTTCATAGCTGTGTCAAAAAGGCTGCTGTGCAAGGTGTGATTCCAGAAATCTCATGAGACAATCAGCTATCAGTTCTTCACCTGCCTTGTGGCGTTTAGTTGAGGTCAGTGCAGCAGTTTTCCTCTATTAGTCTTTCGTAGTGATATCCAAAATAGTACAAGTCCAACAAAGCAAGTGACACAGAATTATTTCATAATCCAATCCAACACATAGCCAAAATACAAACATGTACATCAGAAGAAAGATCATACTCTTGGTTTTACTCTCCAATACTCTTGTGGATTGTTCTGTTGGCTCTGCTGCTTGGCTTTCAACATCCTGTGTGTAAACATAAGTAATGGTTATTAGCTTTAAAGAATATATTGTGGCTGAAGTACAATAATACCAATACTGTATAACAAATAAAACACAACAAGCACATCCTAAAGCTATCTTAAGACACCTTGAGAACATTGGTAGGCTAATTTTAAATTCGTAATGTACTTACTTGCGTATGTAGTAGATAACAACTGCCAGGATCACTAAGATGAGGAGGGCAACAATGACCACAGCTGCAATTAATCCTGCTTCCCCTGCATTGGTGGAAATGCTGAAGAGCTGGTGCTGCTCACATCTGCTGCCTTTGTAACTGTCATTGCACCTGAAGTAAGATATGACGTACAACAAAATGGGCCTTCACTTGTCAGCACAGAGGAAATTTGTCAACAATATTCGCATGTTGTGACATCAGCACATATTTCTACATAAAAGAACACACATTCTAATGTCAAAGACAATTAAAAAAGTTGAGTTCTGTATTTAACTTACACACAGGAGAGTGTGTTCATGGAAGGTATTTTATAGCATGTCCCTCCATTCATGCAGAAGGTGGCTTCCCACCCATCACAAGGGTCTCCATGGTCTATACAGATACAATAGTAACATTTCAGGAAAGATAGCTCTAACAGGACTGAATAGTAACTTTTTAGAATTATTTGATGTTTCTTCTGAATATTTATTATAACTACCTGCCATCATTTGGAATGTTTTTTTTCTTGCTGCTTCCTAAGAACACAAACATTTTTGTCACACAAAAGGAAGTAATTTCTCACCACCAATGAAAGCATAACCAGAAGTTTCACATGCCAATAATAACCTACATATATCAGAAGCTTTTGAAAGCTGATACCCAACAAGAAGTAATACTGAGTTGTAAAAGGAATATATTATCATCCTGACTGAAATAAATAAAAAATCTGTCCTTACCAGCTCGTGAAATCCCAGCTTTTGGTAGCTAGAGCAGGTTCCCAATATGAGTCATAGTGACGCTTCAGAGTAACACAGAACTGCTTTTTGTTGGTACCTCTGAAGAAACTGTGGGCGTGTTCCTCCCTTGGCCTCAAAAATGTTGTGATTGCAGTTTGTCCACATTGTAAATGGCAAGCTAAATGTCAGGATACCAACCGATTATAGGTAATTTGTTTGTGTGTCATAAATGGTGTCATTTAACAGTAAATGAGCAATACATACAGAGCTCTCAGGTCTACAAAAGTATCCCAGAAGTCATTTTGACAGTGTTGTCCTTTGTGATGAAGATGAGTAGATTACATTTTGTTTTTGTTCTTAGAGGTTTAGTTGCATCATCAGATCATGCAGAGGATGGGTGAGGAAATCACCTGTTGTGCATGTGAGCTCAGCCTCTCTGGGTTTAACAACTGAATGATTGGTATGCAAAGAAGGCATGAAGGCATGAATGGAATCGTGGGAACTTTTTTGTAGTCTAAGAATACATCACAAATAATTACTTAAGTATGCTCTAAACCGTTAGTTAACTCATCAACTGGCCATTTTTTAATACTTTACTGCTTTCTTATTAAGAAATTATGTTGTTCTGAACTGTCAATTAATCATACAGAATACAGGCTTCAATCAAGCAACATTGTGGAGATGCTGAATTGATTTTACAGGACATTGTGATCATTTGATAGCATGTTATGAGTAGACTACTAAGAACAACATATGGGTTGCCAAGTTGTGAAAAATCCTTTGGCTGTTGTTTATCCCCCTCCAGCATAAAACTTGATACTTCAGATAGCTCTGCAGATAGGGAGTCCCTCTTTGGACCACATAGTTGACACATAGTTTTAGTATCAAAATATACTTAAAGTTGTCATGACTGGAGCAAGGAGGGTAGCAGGAATACAGGGGTAGAACCCAAATGCAGACGATTGAGGCAGACCTTTTGCAGTTTAATGATTGAATCACACAAAATGGAGGCTTACGAGATGGTGAGGCGGAACAAGAGGCTGCTGCAGCTCAGTGGCAGGTAACGGCTGCTGCGTGGGCACTGAAGACTGCTTCAGCCCTATGTGAACAAGAGGTTGGTGCATCTCAGCAGGACTGGGAACCAGACAGGACCGGTGGTAGTTCTGTTGCACTGGGCAGTTGAGAGAGCTATCAGTGTGTGGAGCCACGGGGACAACGCCTTCTCTTGTGGACTCCACGGTACCCCCTGAAAATGTCCAGGTGATTCCCAAAAGGTGATCGCTGGACATCAGGGCTGCTCCACAACTGTTCCATCAAAGGCTCATGGGGTTCAGGGAATGCAGGACTACAGGTAGCGGGCTAGCCAGCTCAGGATAGGCACGCTCACGAAACTGAGCTTAATCAGCTGGAGTGCAGTGTGAGGACGGGAGTGCAGAAGGCCTCTAGCAGACCAGAGTGAAGGCTGGAGGCTAGCAGGCTTGGGTACAGAGAGAAGGCTGGTTGCTGGCAGGTGGAGGGAAGGCCATCATGCTGGAGGTTAGCTGACTTGGGAAGCAGGCTGGGGTGCAGGTTTATAGGTTAGCAGGCCAGAAAGCAGGCTGGTGCAAGAAGGGCAGCAGGAATACATGGGTAGGACCCAAATGCAGATGACTGAGGCAGTTCTGGTGCAGGTCAATGATTTAATCACACAAAATGGAGGTGGAGAAGCATGGATGGATCAAAACCAGAGAAAAGTCCAACACAAGCAAACAAGTCCAGAAAGGAGTAGGAAAGAATCCAAAGTCCAATAAACAGGTAAATGTCAAATCCAGGTAATGCAGGCAGAAAATGAACCAACTCATAAGCACACAGCAGCATAACAGCACGTTCTGGCAAGGAGTGAGTAAAAGGGCTGGTTAAGTAAGGCTAATAAGGGAGAGTGGAAACAAGTGAGAAAGAAAGGCCTGGTAACTGTAGGCCTGATAAGAAGCGGGAACAGGTATGTGAATGGGTGGGGCAGTCAGGTGAAGAGGAAAGGAGGGAAAGTCAGAGGAGATCTGGTGGATGGAATGAGGATGGCAGGTCTGGGGAGTTGAAGAAAAGAACATGGCCTGAGAGACCAGGGACTGGAGACAGGGACGGACAGAGAGCGTAATGCAGAGGGCTGGGAATGAGAGTGTTTGGCAGCAGGAAGGGACTAAGAGACACACTTGAGACAAAGGCACCAAAAGTATAAGTACTCATTAGGGCTGTCCCTGACTAAGGATTTACAGAGTTGAATCAGAATCATCAAGTCCTGCCTGTAGTCGAATCATGTGTGTTTTTTTGTGCGCAGTGATTGCGGGTGTGTGTGTGTGTGTGGGGGGGTGTTCCACATGGTAGCTCCGCTTTAAAGAGGTGGTATTATGCTTTTTGGCTTTTTCCCTCTCCTTTATTGAGTTATGTATCTTTTTTGTGCATGTAACAGATTTGCAAAGTGAAAAAGCACAAAGTCCAGCCCAAAGGGAGTTCCCATCTCCCACAGAAAGCACTGCTCTGAACCACTTGAAAACAGCTCTTTGTAGTCCAGCACTTCACTTCCTTTGCTTGTGACGTCACAATGAAAACGCATCATAAAGCTAGCCAAGCGGGGGTCAGGCACGCCCTCAAACCAAGCTAGTCTGAGTGGAGGCTCCACTCGCCTTTGTTTGGTTTTCCTTTGTAGAAATGTTGCACCTGTACCTGCTTCCAGGTACTTTTTTTCGTATCACCTCACCTCCATCGAGGTTCCAAGCGAGCTGAGGGATACTAAAATGAAACGTGAAAACGTGACAGACTGCTGATTGGTCAGAGAGAATCGTCACTATTCACTGCATCATCATTTCACACACCAGACAGAGGCCAGCAAGAGAAAGTTTTATATTTTACAGTTTTCGTATGGAATTTCATCAGTAAATCCACTTCTGAGAAGTTTTGAGGTGAGAAATCAGCTGTGTAGATTTCGAATATTGACAGTTTTACGAGAAGTGATGGCAGAACAAAAATATGCTTGAATATTTTCGGAGTTGAGGAGCTCCGCAAGTGGCTGCGGGGGAAGCCTGCGGCAACCGGCAACCTATGAGAGGCTGATTAGGGTGAAAACATTAAAAAACAGACACACGCACACTGAAAACTGTCACACAACCACTGACAATGTGCCCACATACACTGAAAACTGTCACATACGCTCTGACAATGTGCCCACATACACTGAAAACTATCACACACGCACTGACTATGTGCGCATATACACTGAAATACAGGGGTATCTGAGTGTGTGCGTGTAAAATTATTTTTGTGCGGCCAGAAGCTGTTGTAGTGTAACAGGAAGCCTTAGATTCCTGTCCTACCTTTCAAAATAAAAGCATAGCTAACATGATGAAACATAGATTTCAGTGCGAGTGGTATTCCTTGTTCAGAGAGATTGTTTATCTAAGCAATTATATGAACAGTTAATCATCATCATATTTGTATATTTAGTTCAGCATCCCTAAATCTACAGGGAGGGATATTTATTGTATGTCACATTTAATTTTTGCTCCTCACCTTCAGATATTTTATAAACTTCATCTCTGTCTTCTTATTCACATGAAACCTACAACACTTCACTTTATGATCTACAAGCCGCCCGCTCACAGAGCCCTCTGCTCCCGCCGTCACACAGACCGCTGCAGCAACAACGGCAGAGGAAAACACAGCTGGAAGGTTTTCATAGACTTATCTGTCTTTAGATTCTGAGTAATGTTGAAACGTTTTAACTTAAAAAGAGAAAGCTGTGTGGATCGCTGGTGTGTGTGTCGCATTGAACATTGCGTCGCGGCAAATCAATTGGGTACTATCTGCAATGGAACACGGAGCAGGGCCGAGTAGAGTCGAGTCTTTCGATTTGCGCTATGGTAGAATTTTTCGGCAAGGCGGCATAGATCTTCAGAACACCGGCAACAGTTCAACGTTTAGTCCTGATGGTAAGATGTGGAACAATGATGTTGTGTGGTTGTGGACTTGCAAGCAACTTATACCATCTTAAGGTTAAGGTGCCAGTCTGAAGCGGCTTTGATTTGGATTACACTTGTTTTTTACAACCCGCCCTTCTCTGCTTCTGATTGGCTAGTAGTCCTTACCTGGGAACTGCGCATGTGCAACTCCCAACAAAGATTTTGTACAAGTAAGATGCATTAAGCTGATGATATACAGAGCAACTTTTACAGCAATCGTGCAGGGCAACTTGTCAATGGTAATGGGTAAAGATTACTATCGTAATCCCCTTCCCCCACCACTCCACTACCTGCCCCGCACCGCCGCTATCCATTTAAAACATAGTCGGACTTGCCTCTGGTAAGATTGCCCATCAACATTGCTCAAAAAGTTGCCCCCTGTATCATAAGCCTCACTCTGTAGCTCAAGAGCGGAGCGTACAACACATGGGGTGAAAAGAGGAGCTGCAGCAATGTGCAGTATAAGAAAAATATGGTGTTTTTTGAAAATTAAATCATGTAAACCTGTTCTCGTACAACCCCTAATTAAGATTTTGAACCTGAAAATGAGCATAATACCACCTCTTTAATCTTGAGAAGCTGCAGAGCTGCAGTCTCTATTCATTCAACTTGCACTGTAAATTTCCAGCTAAACTGAGGCTTTTTGAAGACCCTTCTCTCTCTCTCTCTCTCTCTCTCTCTCTCTCTCTCTCTCTCTCTCTCTCTCTCTCTCTCTCTCTCTCTCTCTCGCCTGTCATTCACCGGTCTTGTGCAGAGTTATACGTGCATTACTGCTGCTGACAACTGCATGCACGTCGCGGTTCTTCGCGGGTCTTCGCGGGTCTATTTCAACTAGCCGGCTATTTAAAAACAATAAAATACAATCAATATAATCAGCGGTGATTAATTATCCGACAGACCCGCGACACACACACACACACACACACACACACACACACACTACGCCTACAGATGCGCACTGAGGACCCTAAGTTACAATTTTGGATTTATTCACGCACTTAAAAAACATTTATTGGAAGTTTTATTCTTTTTACATGTTATTTACAGCCTTAAACGTTGAAATTTATATTGTAATCGGCTGTACATTAACTTATTGGGAGAAAACTGGTAGTTGTATGTAAAATCAGACGTTGAGCACCCCCATATCGCCAAAATGGCATGATCCTTGTTACGCTGCGAACCTTCTACAGTGAGATTGAAAGTCGAATCAGGCTCCGCCCATCGAAACATCGAATCTTCGACTATTGGGGGTCAGCCCTAGTACTCATTATGCCGAATGGCCCATTTCAGAATCATATATATTATATCACTGGACTATAATTAGTGATGCATTAAAGTGTACATCCCTAATGTCCACTGTGGGTAGCTTAACCTATAACCTACAGGGCCTATATCATAAGTCATTAGTTCATATATTGTGTTAATCATTTTAATTTTCACAGTAACGTAAGCTGTCAGATAATTGTAGCGTAGGAGTTAAAACTACAATATTTACCTCTGCACTGTAGTGGAGAAGAAGTATAAAGTATTAAAAAGTCAAGGAAAGTACAAGTACCCAAAATTGTACATGCCACCACTGCCTGGGAATATTATCGTGAAGCTGCAGACATTGTTAGCCTACACTGAATACAGACTCAGTCGTCATAAAATCACCATTGAGCGCCACAGAAACACTTGAGGTCACTGTAAGAGTATTAGTGTTTTTTCTCTTCGTGCGCGTGGGTTGTTATCGCGAGGAACTCTGAAGCTCAAGAAGTGAAGTGAAGCGAGAGTGTTTTTCTACGTCGACGCTTCCAGCTTGGCATACATAAAGGGACGTCTGCAGGCTCTTAAGCTCTGGCTTAATATGAATATAGACTAGATATATGGTTTATTTAATATATTATTATGCTTGTTGTTTTGTGTTTTTTTTTGTAAATGTAGCTCTGTATCCTCCGTGTTGACGGCGCTGCCCGTCACATCTGTAGCCACTGGAATCTGGTTTTCAGCACCTGGACAGCTCCCGGTCGTGAACCTCTTATTATTATTATCGGGCACATGGAGCCCCTGGTATGATTGTGGGGGAAGCCCCGAAATCACATTATGCTTCCCTCCGAGGATGTCGTTATCTTCCTGATTCACTGACAGCCTCGTCGTCTCTGCTGAAGGATGGTGTTTTCAGTCCGGAGTAGGTGTTTTCGTCGTGCGCTTTCTTCTGAATGGCGAACCGGGTGCTTGGCCAACGCAAATCTAAGGAGAAGCGCAGCCTACACACAGCAAGATCCGAGCTTCCCTCACACTGATCATCATCATAGGCGAGGAGGGAGCTATTACCATCATCATTGCGAGGGCACAGGAGTCACGACCACACTTTACACAATGTAGAGCACGAAAACACAAGGTCAGTACATGTGTCTTTGTGCTTCTTTTCGAGTAGGGATTTGATGTATTTGTGTTGGGTTAAATGAGAATGAGACTGCGTGGCCTCTAAGCACAGTGGGGAAATGTTAACAGCATCGTTTATTTAGCTGCGACTTGGTGGGAAATTAATGCAAATGCACATTGATCAGGTTAAATGTAGAAAGTCTGGATTAGTCATTGCTTAGTGCAATGAAATAGTAAAGAATTCCTGCCTTCTGGACAACCTCCTCCTCTGATGAAGCACTTACTGTGAACTGTCCTCATAGTAATAAGTGGCAACTCAAGATCTCTCTGATAGTGTGATTTACTCAATTCTATAAATACTTTCTTCTGCAGTAAATCACCTCCTTGAACATATTGAGCTTTGAACCCACTTGCCTTTCTTTTCACCTCACACAGGGAAGCACCTTGTTAAGTATTTTGGCTGTGTTAACCTATCTTACCACCAGATAGATATCTTTTTTTTTCTGAGTATTTAATTAAAGACTACATGTTTTAGGTGCTGCAGTGAAACAGAGTCACTCGCAGCCCTTGAATGACCTGCACTGATTTATCCTGAGTAGCATTTAATCTGCTGTGCTTCACTACATTACTCTGCTGCGGCTGTGAGTGCTGACTCCTTACCTCTTCATGTCAGAGGGTTTTTCGCTGTGCCTCTGTGTGTCACACACTACCCCGAATCCATGAAACATTGTGTAGATGATGAAGGTGTAAACAATGCAAATGTCCCATTGTTGCAGTTATAATTCATCCCTTGTTGGCAGCTGATTTCAGTGCCACATTTACTTTGCAACACTGAGAATTGCTCTTGTTCTTTGAAATAGTGGATGTTTCATGAGGTCATGTCACGCCTTTTCCCTGCAAAGCAGCTGGAGTGGGCTTTCACTGAACGGACTTGGACATCAATGGCTCTCTATCCTGTGGCACAAAGACCTAGCATCCTGCTGTACTTGCTATGCAAGAGGTGTGATGTTCCTCAGCCCCTGATTCACAGAGCGAAGCGTATATTGGAGGAGATTTAAAATCCATTACAGTTTAGTGCTGCCCAGGAAAATAGTTGTAGAGCATAGCTAAAGCTGAAGTTAGGACATAGTGCCTTCAGGGAAAGCATAAGCACTCATACTTCGTTGATGCATTTGTGTTA